AGCAGGGCTGGTGCTGGGGACACTTTGCTCAGGGTGATCCCTGACCTGCACTCCAGGCACAAACAGCTTTCCCGGGAGATGGACGCTGGGCAGGGCAGGGCTGGGATGATCTAATAGGTCTTTCCTGTGACCTAGTGCCATGAATTGCATCTCTTCTTCTACAAGAGCATTCTTTGAAGCAGGGAATAACAACACGGGTGTTGTCCCAGTAGGGAAAAGGCAGAGGTCAGGAAGGAGCTTTGTTGGGGACACAGCACACCCCCATAATGGGCTCTTTGAGATGGCTCAGTACAAGAGAAGCTGGGAAGGAGAAGAGCAGCATTTTCTGCTGCATTTGGGGCTTGGAGCAACCCAGACTAGTGAAAGGTGTCCCTGCCCATGGCACAGGGGTGGAACTGGATGAGCTTTAAGGTCCCTTCCACCCCGGAACATTCCAGGGTTCTCTGGTAACAGCACTTGGCCAGCACCAGGCATTTCCAGGAGCTGGAACCAAACAGCCACACACCAGCACCTGAGAGAGGGCTGCACGGAGCTGCTCCTCCCCCTGGGACCGCACAGCAGCCAGGGAAAACAGCCCAGCTCCCACCGAGCTGGAACTGCCCAGCCAAGGCCTCCAGCTCCATCCAGGAGATAACTCCAGGCACCGCAGCGCTCGCAGGGGGGACGCAGGGAGGTTATTTACCAGGGCTGGGTTATCAGGAGAGCCCTTGGGACACAGATAAGGAGTGAGGGCTGCCAGGAGCCCCGTGTGGGAACACACCGAGCTCGATGGAGGGTTCAGCCTTGAGCAGGAGGCATCGGGGCAGGCTGGCACGGCGGGACGTGCTCCTGCCAGGGCACAGCCATCCCGTGGGGGAGCTGGAGAACAACAAACCAGCCTTCTGACAGCATCAGCCTCTTTGGAACGTCCATCAGGCTGGATGTGTGGTGCTTCAGGGTCCTTCTGGGGTACCAAGTCCCAGTGCTGAAGCAGCTGGGGCCACCCAAACCCCAGAGAGCCCCTCTGGGTGCCAGGTGCTCCAGTGCCAGACGGGCACACGTGCTCCTGCCCCAGCCTGCTGCTGCTGCTGACAGAAGGACCACGGCTCTGGGGAGCTTCCAAACCCCTCCAACTCCCCTAATTATGGTGGTGGTGGAAATGGAAAAGAAAGAGGGCTCTCCCTTTAAATTAAAGGACAGAAAAATGACAGAACCTCAAAATCCCAAACACATTTCTCCTGGGCTCACAAATCCATTGGTGCCACCAGCGCAGAGGACAGCTGTGAGGGCTGGGGCTGGCCCTGCCCAGCACTGACCCACCAACAAACTGTAATTTTCCTGTTGAACCATTGCATCCATCTTTCTCAGCCCTTAATTGTGGTTTTTGTGGGCCCCTAGAAAAATATTCCCAACTCGCTCTCATCTAGCCTTCAAATTCTCTGCTCCCATTTGATTCCATTTGTTCCTTAGCAACAAGCTCTGTTCCCAGGCTCTCTCCTTTCTCTCCTGACATTTGTCTTCACTCTGAACACTTTTGGAACGGCTGCTTAAATCAGGAGCTATCATTTGCTGGTCGAAACCCTCAGCCTGTGGCTAAGCTGATTCCCATAAACACAAAAATAAATCAAGGCTACACAGAGTGTCACCATTAATGACCCCATGGAATCATCTGGGTTGGAAAGGACCTTGAAGATCACCCAGTTCCACCCCCTGCCGTGGGCAGGGACACGGGGACACCTTCCACCACAGCAGGCTGTTCTGACCATGTCCAGTTGGAAACCTCACCCCTGTCCTCCTGGGCACCCTGTGTGTGAGCTCAGAGATGGGGCAGAGTTCAACTGCCCAGCGCTCCTTCCTCGCCCTGAGACCTCTCCAGCAATGGAATTCCCGTCCCTGGGAGCTGCAGAGCCCACAGAGACACGGCCCCGGGTTTTCTGTCAGCACACCCATCGCTCCCGGCCAGGCTGGGGTGTCTGGGGACACCTGGGCCCGGCTCCCACCCCTCTGCAGGACACTGGGACACCCCCGGCGCTCCCTCTCACCTCAGACCAGTTGCCCACAGCCCACGGGGAGGGACAGGGCAGCTGTGGGTGACAGGGCGCGGTGGCGTCCGGCCTGGCCAGGTGCTGGCAGTGCTCTGGCTGCAGGGCCCTCTGCTCGTCCAGCCCCACGCTCTGGATGCACAGCACCGTCCTCTTCATCAGCCCCGGGCGGCCACACGTGGCTGAGCACGCCTGCCACTCACCCACCCACCACCTGCGGGGACGGGAGGGACAGGGAGGGACAGGGAGGGACAGGGGAAAGGAACAAGGGGAAAAGGAAAGATCTCAGCCAGAGCAAGGAGCTGTGCCCCAGGATCCATCCCACTGCCCGTCACGGGGGGCCGTGGGGAAAGGAGGATCCCAAATGTGTCAGCCCAAGGTCTGGGAGCTCAGACGGGGGAGGTCAGGGATGGGATGGTCCCTGAGCTGTGCCAGGTTACGTGCACAGAGGCAGAGAGGAGATCCTGCCAGGATGGGAGCTCAGCCTGTGGGCAGGCAATGCCCTGCAGTGGTCAGGCAGCCCCAGGGACGCTGCCCTGGAGCAGCACAGGGCTGGGGAGCCATCCCCAGGCTGGGGAGAGGGGAGGGGAGCAGGGGCTCTCACCTGGCCGGGCAGGGCTCCTCGCTGCAGGTGCGCTGCTGGTCGTCAGGGCGGGTGAGCGCGTCGCAGAACCGCTCCTCCACCAGGCCTGCCAGCCTCTCCACGCAGTGCACGGCCTGCCGCTGCACCCCTGCGGGTGGGATGGACACTGAGAGCACCCTGGGGCACTGCTGGGCACTGCTGGGCACCCTGGGGCACTGCTGGGCACTGCTGGGCACCCTGGGGCACTGCTGGGCACTGCTGGGCACCCTGGGGCACTGCTGGGCACTGCTGGGCACCCTGGGGCACTGCTGGGCACTGCTGGGCACCCTGGGGCACTGCTGGGCACTGCTGGGCACCCTGGGGCACTGCTGGGCACTGCTGGGCACCCTGGGGCACTGCTGGGCACTGCTGGGCACCCTGGGGCACTGCTGGGCACTGCTGGGCACCCTGGGGCACTGCTGGGCACTGCTGGGCACCCTGGGGCACTGCTGGGCACTGCTGGGCACCCTGGGGCACTGCTGGGCACTGCTGGGCACCCTGGGGCACTGCTGGGCACTGCTGGGCACCCTGGGGCACTGCTGGGCACTGCTGGGCACCCTGGGGCACTGCTGGGCACTGCTGGGCACCCTGGGGCACTGCTGGGCACTGCTGGGCACCCTGGGGCACTGCTGGGCACCCTGGAGCACTGCTGGGCACCCCAGGTCACTGCTGGGCACCACACTGGCACTGGTGCAGCTTCACAAACCCAACCCAAGCAGCCAGCAGCTGACAGGAGGCCCTCGGTGAGCCTGAGCCACCAGGACAGCAGAAAGAAAATGAAACCAGCGGCTGAAGCTGCAAGCCCAGGGGTGCTGAGGCTGCCCCACGGCAGCTCAGGCGCTGCAGGCACGGAGCTGCTACAGCCAGCCAGCCACCCCAGCCCGTGTGCCCAGGGCTGTGGGGAGCCCCTGTGGCAGCCCCAGCCCAGCCCGGGGACAAGGCACTGCCCAAAGCCCCCTGTCCCAGCCTGCTCGCAGGGGTTTCTGAGCGTCACCTCACCACGCTCCGGCCTCTGCCCCCGTTTCTGCAGCACGTACTTGACCTGTGACACGGAGAGCTGTCACCACAGGCTCAGCTGAGACTGACAGAACCCTGCTGAAGCTGCTGAGCTCTGGCTCCAGCACTTGGGAGCTGCCAGGGCCCTGGGACTCACCAGAGACTCAGTGTCAGCTCTCCCAAACCCACGGCTCCTCTCACATCATCACTCAGTGCAGGAAGAGGGGCTCAGCCCTCCTCCAGCTGCTCACCCTCACCCGACTCCTGCCCGATTCACTCCTCTATTTCCCTTCTCTTCTGCAAGCCAAGTGCTCCAATCATACAAAGGAAAGCTGGTTTTAAGCAAAGCCCATGTCCTGGCGCTCTGTGCTACCTAGAAAGCACGAGTGTCCTTGAGTTCCCCTTTTATCCAGCGCCAGCTGCTCTCCAGGAAGGGCTCGCTGCTCGCAGCCTCTCCTGGCAATGTTCCAGAAGTTTCCCTCTGCATCAGCTGCCCCAAGAGCTGCCCTGGGGACCCCGGGATGCCCAGCCCGGGGGGCAGGATGGGGACAAGCAAATGTCCCCACCCGGACACTGCGGGACCCCAGCGCCCTCCGGAAAACCCTGGATATCCCCCCCTGCAGAGGCCCTTCCACACTCCCTGATTTCTCTAAAGCTCTTTTGTGTCCATCCCCTGCCGGGTAACAGGACACCGAGCCGGGAGCGAGCGCTGACAAAGCCCCGGGGCTCCCGGGGAGCACCGAGCCGTGACCTCAGCAGATGTCCCTTTCTTCCTCCCCAACACCTCGCGAAACCCAAGCGCCAGCAATCCCCAAGGCTCCCCAGGGATGCTGCAGTGCCCGGAGCGGGGGTCCCGAGGGGCTGCACTCACCTGTCCCGCAGGTGGCCGTGCAGCTGCTCCAGGAGCCAAAGCGCCAGAGGAACTCGGGCTGCTCGATCTCGTTCTCGCTGTCGGCCGGGCGCTGGATCGTGTACTGGTACCTCACCCCGGGGTTGGTCTCCTGGAACAGCAGCTGGGGACACAGGGGACAGCAGGGGTGAACAGGAGCTGGGGACACAGGGGACACAGGGGACAGCAGGGGTGAACAGGAGCTGGGGACACAGGGGACAGCAGGGGACAGCAGGGGTGAACAGGAGCTGGGGACACAGGGGACAGCAGGGGACAGCAGGGGTGAACAGGAGCTGGGGACACAGGGGACAGCAGGGGACAGCAGGGGTGAACAGGAGCTGGGGACACAGGGGACAGCAGGGGACAGCAGGGGTGAACAGGAGCAGGGGACACAGGGGACAGCAGGGGTGAATGGCAGCTGGGGGACACAGGGGACAGCAGGGGTGAATGGCAGCTGGGGACACAGGGGACAGCAGGAGGTGGCCGGGCAGGGCAGTGCAGGGTGGCATTGCCCTGGGGGCTTCTCAGGAGAGAAGGAACTGCCCAGCAGGGGCAGAAGGACTGAGCCTGTGCCCAGCTCCACAACAGAGCTGGATGGAAATTGGAGTAACACGGCTTGTGGAAGGTGTCCCGGCCCACGGGTGGAATTTCCTAAACTGCTTCCCCCTGCAAACCACGGGCTCCTGCTGCTCCTGTGCTTGACACAAGCCCTGCTCACAGCGCCTCCCGCACCCGCGCTCGCCAGGGCTGGGAGTTCATCCCTGTTTTTCTTAGCCTAAGCACTCCCATTATTGCCAAAGCTTTGTTGTTCTTGGAGCTTTGGCGGGAGCCAGGGAGTCTTTCCAAAACCTCTCCATGAATATCGAAACGTTCTCCTCCGAAGGTTTTAATTAGTCCGTGAATCCCAGAAAGTGATCTGTGGGTGCTGAGCACGCCAGCATTCCCATTAACAGCAGCCCTTGGCCCTCACATCCCACCCCGAGCTGCTGCTGAAGGAAGGGCAGGAGCGGATTTTGGCTGCTCGGGGGCCGAGCTCTGGGTGAGCCCGTGCAAAGGCGGGGATGCTCCAGGGACCGCGCTGGGCTGAGCCCCGGCTGCCAGGGCAGGGGGATCCTGGGGGTCCCTGGGGTGCAGCTCCGTGGCCATCACCACCTCTGCACCATGGCACCACGAGGGTCTCCAGCCTGGTGCCAGCTGTGCCATCATCTGTGGGATGATTGCCACTGGTGTCAGCAGAGCCAGGCTCGGCCTCCCGGTCACGAGGACATCGACTCCCAACAGCTTCGCATGAACTGGCAGCTGCCCCACTCCCGAGTGTCCAGCCCAGCCAGAAGCACTGGGGGCTCTTTCCCTGCTCCTGATGAGAGGTGGGAAAGGCCTCAGGGAATGGCTCCTTCTCCTCCCTCTCACTCTCCCATGTAAATATTTTACCGAATGTCGCAAAGGGGATGAGGCTCAGCTGGAAGTGCTGTGGGCTGGAAACACTTCCCGGGCCAGCAGCGCCTGCTCGGCTGCTCCAGCGCTGGCTGAACACACCCCGAGGAGGGCAGAGCCCATCCCGGGATGTGGGGAGGGGCTGTGAGGGACCACGGCAGCTCAGCCCCACAAGGAAGGCAGGATCCATCCTACCTGGATCCACACGGGCTCCACGGTTGGCCCTGGAGAGGTGAGGTTCTCCCAGTTCCCCGTCCTCCTGTAGGTGAAGGTGGTCCCTGCCACCCTGTAGTCCCCGTTCCACTGGATGGTCCAGCCACCATTCAGGAAATATCTCTCCGGGTCCTCGCTCCGCAGCGCCAGGAAATTCCCGGCTTCTGCCACCTCTTCAATCCGGATCTCCCGCGCTCCCACGGGGATGATCCCAATGTCGACATAACCTGGGAGTGGAACTGAGCGTTGGTCTGGGTGGAGTCAGAGGAGTCACAGACGATTTTTGTCCTCGGGTGGGTGCAGTGTCCCCCGTGCCAATCCTTACACCTCTGTGAGGCACCAAACCCTGCCTTGCTCTGAGCCCACCCGAGTTCCCTGCTGTCTTATCCCCAGAAAATGGACAAATTGCAGCTAAAGGAGCAGCAGCAGCAGCTGTGCTGGGCCTGCCGTGCTCTGGGGGCAGCAGGAGGTGCCCTTACCCAGCCCCTCGCTGTCCTCGAAGGTCTTGTGCACGGTGTGGCAGGTGGAGCCGTCCCCGTGGCAGACCCCGCAGCGATCCTCCACCGCCTGCGAGTCGATCTCGTAGTCACAGCCCACGTTCTGCAAGGGAGCCCCGTCAGCCCCACAGCAGCACCCCCAGGCACTCACAGCACCCCCAGGCACTCACAGCAGCACCCCCAGGCACTCACAGCACCCCCAGGCACTCACAGCACCCCAGGCACTCACAGCAGCACCCCCAGGCACTCACAGCAGCACCCCCAGGCACTCACAGCACCGGCTGCACCGTCCCCAAGCCATTCACGCAATCCTGGCACGGCTTGGCTTGGAAGGGATGTCAAAGACAATCCAGTTCCAGCCCCCTGCCATGGGCAGGGACACCTTCCCTGGCACCAGGCTGCTCCAAGCCCCGTCCATCCTGGCCTGGGCTGTCTCTGGCTCCTGGAGGCCAGCGCAGAGGCTGACACAGCTCACCCCACGAACGCTCTCCAGGTGGGGAACGGCAAAAGGAGCCAGCTCAGCATGAGAGGCAGGGGATGCAGAGCACCCAAGGGTGGCTGCCAGCCGTGTTTTGTGTCCCCGTGTACCTTGCAGATGCCGTTGATGCAGATGTCGCGGCTGGCGTCGCTGTCGTAGCAGGGCGTCCCGTCCACCACCGCGTCCCGCAGCTTCTCCGCGAAGTACTCGTGCTCGGGCCGGCAGTGCAGCTCGCAGGGGTTCACTGGGGAACAGGCACAGGCTCAGCCCCAGCGCCCTGGGCTGGCTCTGACAGCACAAACCAGCCCTGCGAGCCCAGCCACGGCGTAAAACGCAGAACACAGCAGCCACGGCCCGCAGGGCAACGCTGCGACACCACCAGCCAGCCCCGAGCTGCGAGCTCTCTGCCCTCCACTCACTGCTGTTGGGCACTGGTGTCCACTTGTAGAGCTTCCCCTTGTAGAGCATGGGGTTGAACTGGCTGCACTGGAGCTGGCGGAAGGAGGGCTTGTCCGGGGGACAGCGCCGCGCGTTGCAGATCCGGAACCGCTTCCGCTCCCCCAGGCAGTACCGGCCCCCGTACTTGGGCCTGTGGCAGGGAAAACAGGAGGCACAGGGGGCTGAGAGGGGCACAGCCCTCGGGATCACAGAGCTGTGCAGCGGTTTGGGTTGGAAGGGACCTTAAAGTCCTGTTCCAGCGGCTGGGATGGGCAGGGACACCTCCCACACACCGGGCTGTCCAGCCTGCTCCCCACCCCACCCAGAGCTCCTGACTCTGCTCCTCTACTGCCCAGGGAACGGCAAAGCTGACACTGGACATTTTAAAGCAAGAGAGACTTGAGAAGCATCAACGATGTTTTTCTCAGATGCCAGCAGACCCTCACACCACGGCCACCATCTCCCGCCTGCCCTTCCCTTCCGTCACACCTCTGTCCATGGCCCGTGTCCCCTGACCTCATGAAAATTCCTTCTCCTGGGCACACTTTGCTGAAGAGAATGAAGCTCAGGATTATTTCAGGGCTGTGTTTACATGCTCTGCCCTGAGGGAACGGCTGTGGGAGGGGGGATGCCCAGCACACATTTCCTCACTTCATCCCAAGGGCAAAGCTGAAGATTTACCTCCAGGGGCCAAAGCAAACACTGCCCGGGAAGTTCCCAGTGTTTGCTCTCCTGCCTGCCCACAGCTGTGTCTGGAGCACTCCATAAACCACCACAGCACCTCTGCCACAGTTCATGTCAAACCCCAGTCCAGGTCCTGACCCAGGACCGAGATGACAGAGCACTTCCCTCAGGAGCCCGGCAGCACGTGCCAAACTCACCCGAGGAAGAGGATGGGCAGAACACGTCTGGAAGCGTCAGGAGCTCACTCCTGGGGCTGCCAGAGCTCCCATGCCACCCCCTGGAACATCTCTACAAAGCCCTTTTCCCCCCACCCCAGGGTGCTCTGGCACCAGGGGTTTTGGCTGAATCCAGTGCAATGGTGATTTGGTGACCAAGGGGACATCTGGGGAGCAGATGGGTCAGCCCAGAAATCCCAGGGTGGAGATGGCAGCTCCTCCAGCAGCGCCCGGACACTTCCAGGCAGGAGCCAGCGCTGGCTCCTGGAACGCAGCAGGGTGATAAACTGCAGCAGGATTTTTCAAAACAACTCTGAATCAGGCTCCAGGAATGCCTGGTTTGCTGTTGTGTCACTGAAGGGCACTGGATGTGTTTCACATCCCCGAGCGTGGAGTCTCTGCCCCTTGTTTGAGTCACGCTGCAACACTCCCGGGGCAGGGGATGGAACCAGGTCCCTTCCAACCCAAACCAGCCCAGGCTTCCGTGGCTGTCCTGGGGCTCAGGGCTGGCTTACGTGGGGTGGCTGCAGTGCCTCTCAGCGCTCTGCACTCCTGCACCACAGCTGCGGGAGCACGAGGCCCAGGAGCTCCAGGAGCTCCAGCCGCCGTCGATGGGCTCGGGCCGGAATCCCACGGGAACGCACTCGCCGTTGAAGCACCACTGGGAAGGGGAGAACAGCTTGAGGATGGGGAGCGCTGACCCCTGGGAATCCCTGTTCTGCCTGCAGGGAGGTGCCTGGGGTCAGCTGGGCTCTGCCACAGCCTGGAGCTCCTCAAGCCATGGGAATCTCAGAGGTGCTGGGCTGTTTGAGGATTTGAGGGAGGCAACGCACCCAAAGCTCCATGGAGACCCCTCAGCAAGGGGATTCACAGCCCAGAGGGGCTCAGAGGTGCCTCCCCAGGGAGAGCCTGGTGCTCTCCTGCCATGGTCATTAACTGTGGGTTTCACCTTCCCAGGGGACTCAGGTGATCCCAAGTGAGGGCATCCCTGCTGGGGCCAGAGGGTGTTCGGGCAGAGCGAGGGCAGAGGGATGAGCCCATGCCTGCACTGGACCCTGCAGAGCCCCTGTGTGTGCAGGAGCAGGGGTCCCCGAGGCCAGGGAGGGATGTCCCCAAGGCCAGGGAGGGATGTCCCAGAGGCCAGGGAGGAGTGTCCCCGAGGCCAGGGAGGGGTGTCCCCCCCGTTACCTTGCTCTCCCCACACGCCGTGCCGTCCACAGCCGCGTCCAGCTTGGAGTGACACGTGTTCCCCACGGAGCACCACAGCGTGTGGCAGACACTCTGTGGGAAGCAGAGGGACATGGTTCCTGCCCAGCACAGATCTGTCCCTCAGGCACAGATCAGATCCCTCAGATCCATCCCTCAGGCACAGATCCATCCCTCAGGCACAGATCAGATCCCTCAGATCCATCCCTCAGGCACAGATCCATCCCTCAGGCACAGATCAGATCCCTCAGATCCATCCCTCAGGCACAGATCCATCCCTCAGGCACAGATCAGATCCCTCAGATCCATCCCTCAGGCACAGATCCATCCCTCAGGCACAGATCAGATCCCTCAGATCCATCCCTCAGGCACAGATCCATCCCTCAGGCACAGATCAGATCCCTCAGATCCATCCCCCAGGCACAAACCCATCCCCCAGGCACAGATCCAGCACAGATCAGCCCCAGCAGAGCCCCCAGGCCCCCAGGGGACCCCCTTACGTCCATGTCGTCGCAGAAGGTGGAGTAGGGGCCGTACTGCAGCCGGCACTGGTGGCCCACGTCGTACAGGACACCCGGGGGCACCAGGGGAAAGTCCAGCACCTCCTGGGCCGGGGGGTCATCCAGGCACAGCCCCCAGCCCCGGCTGCAAGAGACAGCAGGGCAGGGTCACCACAGCTGTCCCAGCCCTCCGGCCGGAGCCGGGGAACCCAGGACAGGGAGCAACCAGCATTTCCCACCCACACCACCCTGGAGCTGCTCCGCTGTGCACGGGCTCCTCTGGGACCCTCCTGGGCTGGGAGCCCCCCAGAGTGATCCCCCAGGTCCCCCCGGGGTGGCAGGACACGGGTGAAGGGACAAAGACAGGAGGGGCAGCAACCATAAAGGTCCCTGCAAGCCCTGCTAACAGGGATAAAGGAGGCTGCCAGCAGCCAAACGTGCTCATCACCCCCATGCTGCTGCCACAGAGGGCTCAAACCAGGCTGGACAGGATTTCTCTGGAGCAGAGGTGGCACTGGAGTGGCCAAGGCAGGCGGTGCCTCCCTCTGCTCCAGCTGCTCCCACACTTCCCAAACACACACGGAATTGTCACCAGTGCAGCCCGCGGTGATGATTTAAACAAACTCGTTTCCAGCTTGGTTCCGAGCCTCTGGCAAGGCTGTGGTGGTGGATCAGATTACTCGGGCTTGTTGTGATTGGGAACGGCTCTGAATTAACTCGAAATGAAGATTATTTTTAACCCCAACCAGCAGCAGGGAGACAAGGGCTGGAAGCAGGAGAGCTGCTGCTTTGGGGTGCTGGCAGTGCCAGGGGGTGATGCCCAGCAGAACCAGCACCCCCTCCTCCCTTTCCCATCCCACCCACCGAGCTCCACACCGGACACTGCAGACAGCTCCCTTGGCTGGAGTCAGCCCCTCAAACTCCCATGTATATCCTCACTGAAATGCATTTTCCTAAGGGAAAAACCAGGAAATGGGTTGCTGTCAGCAGCCCAGGGGCTCGGAAGTCTCGGTTTCCCAGCTCCCAACAGCAGGAGCTCGGTGGGAAGGGCAGGGTGGGGTGGCTGAGGGTGATGTGGGGCTGAGCTGGGGTGGATGGAGCAGGGACTGGGCAGCTGGACACAGGGTCCTGTGTCAGGCACGGGCTGCACGGCACCTCCACACGGATTTCCACAGAACCACACACCCCTGGAATGGTTTGGCTTGGAAGGAGACTTAAAGCTCATCCCATTCCCGACACTTGCAGTGTTTTCTCTAGAAACAGGACTGGTATCCCTGCTGGAAAAAGCCCTGGCTCAAGCAGCTCACCCTGGATGAGCCCCAGTGTGACAGCGGTGCTGCCCTGGACTCTTCACCCTCTGCCTGTTTGGGTCCCAGCACTGGGGCCCCACAGGTCCCCCCTACACTGTCCCCAGCTCCTCTGACCTGCTGGGGACACTCCCTGTCCTGCCCCAGCTCACAGAGGGGTCTCTGTCTGGTCTGGGGCTGATTGGGATCTGCCTCAACTTCCCAGCTTTTCCAGAATTTATTTCTTTGTTAAATACTTCACAGTCATTCTCCTGGTCTGTTCAATTGGCCAAAACACATCTCCAAGCAGGGAAAAATTGGCCTGAGTTTCCCTCTGGCTTCCAGGGATCTGCAGTAAATCCCAGTCCACAGGGAAAGATGCAGGGGCCTGCACTGCTCTGCCTGTTCCAGCCCGTTCCTTAACAAGCTGGGGGACGGAGTGGATGGAACAATGATTAAATCCCCATCTGTGAGCAGCCTGAGAGGATCTGCAGATACATTTGAGAGCAGGATTAAAATTCCAAAAGCTCCCAGAGAACTGGAGGAAGGGTCCAAAGAAGCCAGGACAGAATTCAACAAAAACAAAGGCAGAGCTTGGAGCTTGGGAGGAGTGAGCTGCACAGCCGTGGAGCTGGTGGGGCTGGCAGGGGTTGGCACGGGCAGGGGAAGGCCAGCAGGCCCCAGGCCCTGGCAGGAGGAAGATGATGGAAGGAGAGCTCCAGCACTGTGGGAAGAGGATGAAAATCTGCTTGTGTGATGTAGAGCAAAGACTGAAGTGTCCCTCCAGCACCAGAGCATCACCAGCCACCCTGTGCCAGCATCCCACGCTGGCCTGAGCGAGGGGACAGCTTCCCTGGGGACACTGCTGCCACAGCAGGGACAGGACCTGTCCCAGTGTCCCCTCGTGTCCAGGCAGACCCTGACTGAAGCCCCCGCTGCAGCCAGTGCTGACCACAGTGCCGGGACATCGCTTTCAGATGCTCCAACACTGGGCTGTGCTTGTGAACTAAGAATTATCTTGTGTAAAATAATAATAATCACCATTGGAGAGCGTGGTTCTTCCAAAGGTGGGGCCTGTTCCAAGCTCAGCCAGCTCAGCAGGGTCCCTTTCCTGGCTCCCTCCCTCCCGCTCTCCTGCCAGCATCCCGTTAGAGCAGCTCCTGTCCCTGCTGTCCCCGGGGGTGTCACAGCGCTGACAGAGCTGCTCCTTCTGGGACAGCAGAGACACAAACCCCAGCAGAACAGCTTCCAGCTGCTCTGTCTCCCCCATCACAGCTCACAGCAGCCCAGGGTCATCACAAGCAGGACATTCTTCATCCCCAAGTGAAGGTTAAAACAGCGGGCCAAGAGCGCTGCGGATGCGGGAAAGCTCCGTTCCTTTAAAGCCATAAATCAGCAGGAATTCCTCCTGCCCAGGGCCAAGCCCACACGTCCCAGGCTGGGATTTGGGAGCGAGGGCCTGGCCCTGGCCTGGCTCTCCCCTCGCTGCTCCTCACTGTTTTCAAACCTCCCCCAGCAAGGGAGGAAAATGTTCCTCCAGTGCAAGCTGACAAACCAAACTCCGGGCTCTGTTCCTTGGAACTTCCTAACAACGGGCTGAAAAATCAGCCACGGGTGCTAAAAATAAACAAAGGCAGGGAAGAATTTGGCTGGGCCTGGTTTGCCCATGTCAGGCAGATGGAACGGAAGAGATTCTGCAGAACCTGCAGAGGGAAAACACCCCGGTTTTATCTGTGCAATCACAGCCCCTGTGCCCCCCACCACAGCTCCTGACCCCCCTTCACAGCACACAGGGAGTGACCCAGGGAGGATCCACGGAATCATGGAATGGTTTGGTGGGAAGGAATCTTACAGCTCATCCCAACCCTGCCACGGGCAGGGACCCCGTCCACCACCCCAGGCTGCTCCAAGGACACCCCCAGGGATGGGGCAGCCACGGCTGCTCTGGGCAAAGACCCCCAACACTCTCAGAGAGAAGATCTCAGAGGTAAGAGCAGCCCCCATGCCTGGCTCCCACCCCCAGCTGCCAGCAGTGAGGAAGAAGAGGAGGAAGCACTCACTCGAGGAAGCGTGTGATGTACTCGCGGCTGCAGCGGGACCAGGTGAGAGGGGACGTGTCATACAGGAGCTGTGGAGACATGATGAAAGGTCTTTTCCCAACTGGCTCACAGTCATTGCTGCTTCCATCATGCTGAATCCCAAAACTGTGTAAGAGCACAGCCCACGGAGGGGAGGTGAGGCACGAGCAGCACAGCCAGCACAGCCACCGCTCCCGGCCCCGGAGAGGGGACCTGCCCTGGGGTGACAGCCCTGAGCCCTGTCCCGTGCTTTCACTTCAGCTTTCCCACTGGAAACGCAGGAGTAGTCAGCAAGGTCATGCTGGTGGGTGTTTTCCCACACACAGATGTCTGCTGGGAACTGCAGCGTTCGAGTGACCTTGTGAAAATCTAACTGAGACTGGGGCAAAATTCTGTCGCTGATGCTACAGACAGATCCTACTTTAAAACTTCTCAGTGGGCAACCCCTGCACCAAAACCTTCCCACCCCAGAACCATACACAAGTGCAACTTCTCCAGCTTGCCTTGGATTAGGTGGTTCTCACTAAACCTGGGACATCCCCAAACTCAGCTCTGGGATGAAACCCTCAGGGAGCAAGGGAGTGTTTGCAGCCCTGAGGAACCGCTTGGGAACCATCTCCCAACTTCCCCCCGTGCCTTCTCCAGCCCCGGGGTGCACACAGAGGAGCGGGAGGAGGAGGAGGAG